CTCTATAAGACAAGAAATACCATACAAATGTGAGTTATTATTATTATTATTAGTGGGATTAGACTTATAAAAAGTCCTTTTCTTAGAATGTAATTTGAAAGGCAGGATGAATAGAGCCCTGGGCTTGGAGTCAGCTCTAAATCCCACATGGTAAGTTCCATGAAGGCAGGGATTGCTTTTACTTTTCTTTGTATCTTGAGCACTTAGCACAGTGCCTGGCATGGTAGTAGGCACTTAGAGAGTGCTTGCTAATTTGACTGTCTTTCTTACTACCTGTGAGACCATGAGCAGGCACTAAGGTCCTCTGAGATTCAGATCCTCATCTCTAGAGTGAGGGGCTTGGCCTACCTGGCTTGGCTTCTGAAGTCCTCTGTAGCTCTAGATCTATGGTGCTATCTTGCCTCTGGGTCTTGCTTTTTTCATCTGGGGTGTAGAACGGTGGATATGATGTCAGACTCAGCTGATGTGTTGGCTAGTTTTGCTGAATTGCCTGATTTTTCCCCTCTTTTTGTGCAATTTTTTTTTTACAAGGGATGACTTGCTTGCTGGAGGAGCAGGGAAAGCTATAAGTCAAAGGAATCTGTAAAAATTAAATACTTGACAGAAATCTGTAGGACCGTTTTCTGAGTTATGAGCCTGACATTAAGGATGAGTTCTAACCCTCCCGCAGAAGCTTATGTTTACATGGCCCCTTTAAATTTCCAAAGCTCTTTCAAGCAGTGCAAATATGACTAGCCTTATTTGATAGATGAGGAGACTGAGGTACTAGAGGTGAGGTGGCATTTCTAGGGTCACACAGCTAGCGAGCCTCAGAGCTGGGGTTCAAATGTAGGTCTCTCTTGCCTCTGAATCAATTCAGTGGGCTTTCTACCTCACCACAGAGAACCTCAAACAAAGATAAGTGATGAAGGCTACAGCTACCATCTGGTCTACTTGCCTTCATTTATCTCCAAATATTAAACACGACTATTTTCCCTACTATTGTTGAGGTTGGGAAAACACTTCCAAAAGACTCAGAGAATCACAGAATTGTAGCTGTGGAAGGGACCGCAGTGGCTGTCTAGTCACCCAAAATAATCCTCACAATAGTCCGAAGAAGTACCTAGTGCAAATAGTTATCCCCAATGTACAGATGAGGAAAACTGAGGCTTTGAGGGATTCTCTAGTTTTCCAGAGGTAGGAGATCATATTCATTCCACTACATCACACTTTTGTTCAGAGCAGAAAGAAAGACTTGACTGTTCAGGGTCTTTGGGAGAAGTTGTATGGCTGATAGGTTTTGAAAACTCCCCAGCTGCTGAAGAACAGGTATCTTCTATAGAACTTTATCCAGCTGCATTGACTCTGACTTGTAAAGATTAATTGTGGCAGGACGGAAGGAAATTTCCTGACTTTGTGTGTGTCTCTTTCTCCATCCACACAAAGGAGGAAATCTCCCAGAGCCTTGTAGGCTTTTAAGCTGACCAGATTGCATCAAGCGTTCTTGTGGAAAAGGCAACCCTCTAATCTTCCAAGAGTCCCAGCCTTTCCCTTCCGACATATTTTTCAGTTTAGGGCATTGTCTGGTTTTCATCTAAAGCTGCCTTTATGTGAAGGATGAACTCTACTGACCTGCAAAACTCATTCTGCCCGACCAGTTCATTAAATAACTAAAACAAAAGAAACAGTACCAAATATTCTTCAGTGAACTTCTATGATGTCATTTGCTACTGAAATTCACTTATCCTTAAGGTTTACATAGGTTCTGTATTTTCTTTGTAATTTAAAACATTTTACTCAGATAGTGGGTGAGAGCATTACATTTGGAGTTAAGTGACTCCAGAGAATCAAATCCTGAGCCACCTCGCTGCCCCCAAGTGATAGCCCAGGGTCCGTAGCCTGTATGGGTCAGAGGCAAGATTCAAACTTCTATTTTTCCTGACTTTGAGTCCGACCTTGCCTGTCCTGACTTAGTTTATAATATGGTAGCAGTCTTATAAGTCCTATCTACATTTGGCAGATGAAGAAATTAAGATTTGAAGAAAGAGGTAGCTAGGTGGCTTAGTGAGCAGAGTGATAGATTTGGAGACAGGAAGACCTGAGTTCAAATTCAGCCTCAGACACTTAATGGCTGTATGACCCTGAGCAAGTCATTTAACCTTTGTTTGTCTCAATTTCTTTATCCATACAATGGGGATAATAACAGTTCCTTCCAGGGTTTTTGTAAAGGTCAAGTGAGACAATATTTGTAAAGTTCTTTACAAAATCTTGAAGTGCTACATAAATGCTATTTTTTATTGTTGTTGTTATTATTAGCAGCAGCAGCAGCAGACTTAAATAATTTGCTTAAAGTCACCCTGAAAATCAGCAGTAGCCTCAGGACTAGATCCTAGGGTCCAAGTCTCTGAATTTCTAGATAAATTTTTCCCATTGAGGAATTCAATACCAGGCTTTCTTTCCTCCTTTTGAACAGTTATTGTAAGAGAAAAGGAAATGTTCACCTTATACCATACACATTAGCAAAGATGACAAAAATATAGGAATAGTCAATGCTGGAGGGGTTGTGTGAAGACAGGTACACAGATGAATGTTGTTGGAGCTGTGAAGTAAGTTGGCCACTTAGCAGCTTTTTAGAGCATATAGGACATGTGTGGGATTATAAAAACACCAAAAACTATTAATCATTCATTAAACACTTACTGTGCACCAGCTGTATATGTGCAGCATTGCACAAGAGGCTGTGGGATATGGGGAAAGGAAGAACTAACCTACATGATGACATGTCTAAAGGGCAAGACTTGCTCACTAGAAGACCCTGAGTTCAAATCTCATCTTAGACACTTACTAGTTATGTGACCCTGGGCAAGTCACTTAACATCTCTTTGCCTCAGTTTTCTCATCTGTAAGATAGGGATAACAGTAGCACCTACTTCTCAAGTTGTTGTGAGGATCAAAGGAGACAATATTTGTAAAGTGCTCTTCAAACCTTAGAGAGCTTTATAAATGCTTGCTATTTTGAGGATTTTTACAATCTAGTGGAAAGAGAAGACGCATGCATTTCCTTCATTTGCCACCAGCTGCCCTGCTTAGTTTCAGTTCCATCAGCGTCATATCCTTCTCTCCCTCCCTCATGATAAACTCAACATCAAGAGATTGTTTGAGCTTTGCTACTGATACTTCATCAATACCCTCAGCTGCTTTGGCCCTTCCTCCCATGGCCTCCATCTATAGAGGGCTCACAATGCTCCCTCTTCCCTCCCACTCTATAATCCTTATTCATAGCATTTAGGGTTCAAAGCTTGAAGGGACTCATCTAATCAATCAAACCCCATGATTTAACAGATAAGGAAAATGAGACAAGTGACTTGTCCAAAGTCATTTAGATAGTATGTAGGACTGCTAGGATTTGAACCCACAGCCTTCTGGTTCCAAATATACCCTGGATGTGGCATCCTGGGTCCCTAAGTGATAGAGGTGCCATATTTGGATGGTCACTACAGACAGTAACTCAAATGTAGTGCTAGAAATCCTTAGAAAGGAAACATCCTTTCCATAAAATAACTTTAATGACTTTAAATGGTCAAATTCTCTTGTTCAGAATGTGCCATGGTGAGGGGGCATGAGTGACCACATTTCCTAAGTCTGATTAAAAATGGAAACATGAACTGGGAAAGACTTACATGAACTGATGCATAGTGAAATGAACAGAACCAGGAGAATGTTGTACACAGTAAAAGCAATATTATTCAACTGAAGAACTGTGAATGACTTAGCAATTTTCAGCAATATAATGATCCAAGACAATCCCAAAGGACTAATGATGAAGCATACTTCCTCCAGAGGAAGAACTGATATTGACTGAATATGAGCTGAAACATGCTATTTTTCACTTTTTTTCTTTTATTCAAGACATCTTGTACAAAATGACTAATATGGAAATATTTTACATAATTGCACATGTATAACCTGTATCTGATTGCTTAATGTCTCAGAGAGTGGGGAAGGGAGAGTGGAATTTGGAACTCAAAACTTTAAATAAAATTATTAAGTTTTTTTTTAATGGAAGTATGATCCTGAGTAGGAATAGCATGTGGATGATTTCAAAGGGTAAACTGGTTCAATAAACCCTCTCTGCTTTAACTCACAGTGACCAAATAGAATCAAAAAACCCTCCAATGGGACAGAGGCTGAAATTCTCAGATTTTTCTGCTAATTTCATTTCTGTACCATTTTAGTCTCTATTAGGGGCCATGTCCCAACATGTGGATAGTAACAGCCTTTCAAAAATCTCATCACCAAAGCTGACACAACACGGATTAAGAAGAAAAAAAATTCCTGGAGTAAATCATGCTATCCTAACAGAATTTCAGTGAAACTTGGATGACAACATTCTTGTCACCTTTTCTTTATTCTACCTTTTCAATGCAAGAGATCAGTCAGCCAGCTCAGGCTAAATCACTACCCTCTTCTACAGATCACCTTCAGGCTCAACAGAGAATTACAGATATCTAAATTTATACACACAAAATAGAAGGGTTTTGTAAGCAAGTACCTGAACTTTCCTCCTCCATCCTGAACTGATATAAGAATGTATTCAGCATAAAGTAATGTATGCAAATCTCATGAATCTAGCAACCCGTTTTATAGACGATGAATACATTTTGCTAAAGACATAAATAAAATAATAGTTGGACTCTGAAATCTCTTTCCTACATGTGCTGGTCAAAGTTATCCAGTGGGCTTATCTCTATCTTCCCAGGAGAGAGGGCCAAGAGAAGGAAGCTAACAAAAGATTTTTTTGGTGACTAAGGTCAGCTATGTACCAACACAGCTTTCTCCAGATCATGTGTCCAATAGTGAGTGTGGCCACCAGCCTGAGATGCTACATTTGTACATTTGAAGCCATTGCCATAAGGTGCCTGGGGAGTCACCTGGCAGAAGTTGCGCTAGGCAGTCGGACACTGACACAGTTCTGACTCCATGGGAGAATCCATCAGGCAACCCCAGACCCAGACAATTACCTGTCATAGTCTTGGCAGATCTCCCCTACAGCTACCAAAGCCTTCAGGTATTCGTTGGGTTGGTAAGGATGGATATAGTGCAGCGAACAGCTGTTCCTGGGATCCCCATTGGATGCAGTGAAGTCTATTGCTACCTGCAGGAGGAAGGAATAGAGAAATGTAATTGTTTGGGACTGTTGTCTTCATGTGGGACCCTGGATCAGCGTCTCTCTCTTCAAAGTACCGTGTGTTATTCTCTCTATGCTTTGAATTTCTTACTAGTGGGTGCATTGTATATAAAAGAAAGTAAATATAAATACACTATCTCTCATCTCTGTGCCTTTTCGGGATTGGCTGTGCCAGAAGCCTGGGATGCTCTCCTTCCCAACTTCTACCTCTTAGAATCCTGGGTCTTCCTCAAAACTCAGCTCACGCACCACTTTCTGCATGAAGAAAATTTCTTGACCTTCTACCACCAGATGGTAGTAAATCTCTTCCCCCCCACAAACTACCTCGTCTTTATTTTTCATATTTTCTGCATTTTTTATACATCTATATGTTGTCTTCTCAGTGAGAAGGGCAGGGACTGTTTTACTCTTGTCTTTGTATCCTCAGTGATTGGGACAGTGCTTGGCACATAGTAGGTGCTTAATAAATGCTTATTGCTTGCTTGAATGAATGTAAAGTCCTCGAGGGCAAGGCCTTTTCCCATCTTTGTCTTTGTATCTCTAGAGCCTGATAGGGAGGGAGAGAACAAGCTTTTATAGAGTGCCTACTATGTGCCATGCCGTGTGCTAAATGCTTTACAAATATTACCTTATTTGATCATAACGGGGCCTTACTAAATGTGTGTTGAGTTGAATGTGCTGGCCATCCCCCCAGGCTCTTTGTCTCCACATCCCTGCAGACACAGTGTCTTTTTTCCAGGCCTCCTCTTCCTTGCTCTCTCTGCAGCATCTGATCCTCCCAGCACTCTTCGATGTTCCCTGTTCTCTCACCTTCAGTGATGCTCCTCTCTAGGAGCATCTTCTCTGCTTCTGCTTTGCCCTCTGCCTGAATCAGCCTCAGTGTAGTCTCCCTTCTCATAACTCTCAAATAGTGTAACAGATCAAAAGAGTGGGGAGGAAGGAGTGCCCCCTTCCCTCTGTCTCCACTCTTGTTCCCCTCCACCTTTAATGACCTCCATTCTCCTCTCGCTGATCCCAAATCTCTTACTTATCCCAGAAGGCCCATTCCAAGTTCCAGTTGGCTCCATGAAATCTCCCCTAGTTGCTTTCGAGGCTATTAAAGGTTGTCCCTTCTAAACCACTTTGACACTTCTGGTTTGTGCCATCTCATTTAACTCCCAATGATGTTGTTTCATGATGTATACTGCTGGTTTATCTCAGTTATAGAATCAGAGAAATCTCTATCCAGATCTTCAAGACCAATGGTCTCATTTTAGAGTAAACTGAGGCTTGGAGAGCTCTGAATGTCAATGATTTATTGTGATGGGTTTGTGACTAGGACCTGACTCCTTTGAGCCAGAAGGGCAGCCAAATTCTGTGCATGTTGGCAGAATTCTTAGGGCATCTCTGTAGTGGTCCTTCCAGGTTTCCAAAGTGATCATTAAATAATAAGGTAAGGGCATCTCTGCTTCTCCTCAGTTTGCCCTTGGAAGGTTACCTATTGCACTGTAGACCAATGAGAAAATGCCAACTGCAGTAACTCAGTCTGGTTTCTGAGATACAAGTAAAAAATAAATCCTGATACAACAAATCAGGAGAAGTGCTCTGTACAGCAAAATGACTTTCTTATGTCTGAGATTGCTGTTTAGAAACTATTGTTTCTTGGTCTGTTTATAACTTTATTTTTCTTCTAAAAACAAATCCTCTACAAATGTTTTCTTTCTCCAGTCTCTGCGTACATATATAGAGGCAGCCCCTCTCACCAACAAAAGACCCTGAGTGTTAATTTGCATTGGAGGCAGAGGGAGGAACCAAGCTTTACCCTGCCACTAAGCGACATTTCTGAATTTTGAAAGAAGCCAAGACACGGTTCCCAGTCACCCATCCAAATAAAGTAGCAAGCAAAATCAGCCAGGAGCTTTGAGGAGAAAGGGAGGGTATCAGAGGCATGCACGGTGCCTCTCTTCTGTCCCTAGTTGGCTCACAACATTTCTGTTTGCTTAGTCAGGACACAGAGGCAGGGAGTGTTATTTATGGCAATATATCTATTTTTTTTGAAGCAAAATACCATTAATAATTCACATTTTTATAACACTTTAAGGTTTGTAAACACGTCTTCCTTTTCTCCTGTAAGGTAGGTAGGGTGAATATTATTGACCCCATTTTATAGATGAGGAGACAGAGGCTTAGGAAAGTGAAATTACTGACTCAGAATTACAGAATGAGCTCCCTGAATGCAGGGATGGTCTGTTGCCTCTTTTTGTACTCCCGGAGCTTAGCACAGTCCTGGGCATATAACAGGTACTTAATAAATGTTTATTGATTGATAGATAGAGTTATGGAAATGTTGGAACTAGGATCTGAAACCAGGGCTTTGCTGACCCCAGGCTCGATACACCTTCCACTAAGCCATAAAACAATTTGTGAGTTCTACCAAATGAATAACAATAACAATAATAATAATAAATTGCATAGTACTCTAAGATTTGCATAACTCTTTACATATGTTATCTCATTGGATCCCCAAGACAACCCTGAAGTAGGTGCTATTATCCCCATTTTACAGATGAGGAAACTGAGGCACACAGAAGTTAAATGATTTGCCTAGAGTGACACAACTCCTAAGTATCTGAGGATGAATTTGAACTTGGGACTTTCTGACTCTACGCACAGTGCCCTCTCCACTGGGCCCCTAGGTGTCATAGCTACGGATAAACACTGCACATGTGGATCAGGATGGAACAGAAAGGAATGCTGCAGTGAGGTCTCCCTTAGGCATCTCATTACTTTAGCATTTGCCCCCACAGCTCTACAAGCAAACTGACACATTTAAAACAATCACTGGTACAAACTGACTCTCTACACCTCTCTGGAGGAGACAGAATAACAGTTTCAGAATCAAAAGGGGCCTCATAGGCCTTGAAGGAGCTGTGTGTGAATCCTGATTCTTCCATTTTCTGCCTAGGATAGTCTGGGGGAAGTAGAAAGAGCTGGATTTGAAATCAGAGGAACTGGATTAAAATCCCTATTCTGCCAACTGGGCACAGTGATTGCAGCACTGGGCCTGGAGTCAGGAAGACCTGAGTTCAAATTCAGTCTCAGCTACACAGTAGCTGTGTGACCTTGGACAAGTCACTTAACATCTGCCTGCCTCAGTTTCCTCAACTGTGAAATAGGATAATAGTAGCACTTACTTGTGCTACTGTTGTGAAAATCAAAGGAGATAATTTCCAAGTGCTTAGCGCAGTGCCTAGCCACCTAGGAGGCACTGAATAAATCCTTCCCTCCTACAGGGCCAGGAGAAAGTACGAAGTAAAAGATCTGCAAGTGCATTCAATGACAAAAAAAAAAAGATAAAAGAGAAACCTGGGCAGATTTGTAACCGATGCAGAGTGAAGTGAGCAGAACCAGGAGAAAATGTATACTACGATAGCAACATTGTACAAACAAGCAACTTTGACAGGCTTCAGAAGTCTGATCACAGCAATGATCAGTCACGATTCCAAAGGACCCATGCCGAAGAATGCTACCCATCTCCTGACTGAAAAGTGATGAACTAACTATGCAGAAGGGGATTCGCTTCGGGGACATGGCCGACTGTTTACCTATGCCTATTCGTTCCAAGGGTTTTTCTTTTCTTTCTTTCAGTGGGTGGATGAGTGGGGCTGAGAAAACAAATGTTTGTTTATTGAACATAAAATGCAATTTAATTTAAAAATGGTAAATGGATGAGCCATACCCTCTAAACATCCCAGAAGGAGAAACTTTTTATCATGTGCCTTGTCTAACACAGGGTGCTATAAAGTGGAAGTTAGCCAGCAGCTCTTTTTCTAGCTGATGTCTCCCGAAACAGGTTATCTTAATGAGATTTGAGTAAAAATGCACCAGAGGGAATTGGTTGAACTTATCTTCTGGCTCTGGCCATTTGCCAAAATTGATGGATGCTCTTTAAAAGAAGGGGAGGGAGAGAGAGGGAGGGAGGGAGGGAGAGGGAGAGAGAGGAGAGGAGAGAGAGGAGAGAGGGAGAGGAGAGAGGGAGAGGAGAGGGAGAGGGAGAGGAGAGGAGAGGAGAGGGAGAGGGAGAGGAGAGAGAGAGAGAGAGAGAGAGAGAGAGAGGAGAAGAGAGAAGAGAGAGAGAGAGAGAGAAGAGAGAGAGAGAGAGAGAGAGAGAGAAGATGGGGGGGAAGAAAGAAATGACCAGGAAGTTAGATGAGTAAGAAAAGGCAAAGAAATCTTGGGATTAAGTTGAGGAGGGGGGACAGAAACAAGGAATCCATCGAGATTTTATGGTATTTTATGTATGGTTGATGGGCCATGGTCATTGCTGTGTTGTTTTCTTTAATGCTCATGGATTTGCAAGCCCCGGTATCTTTCTTTTCAGTCAGGATGCCTTATTGAAAGCTCCAGGTTCCATGACCCTCTCAGAGGGCAGTCGGAAGGGAGGCCTGAGTCCCATCCACCTTCCAAGAGGCTTCTCTCCTCATTAAGCTGGCCTCAAAGCAGCTTTGTAAAACTTGTAAAAGAAGGAAACAGCCAGCTCCTTTTTTAGATTTGGGGGTCCCAAAGTGCACAGCACCATTTCTCCCTAGGAAACCAGACATGAGTGATGAGCACTCTTATCTTGTATTATTTTTTAGTCTCCAACATAAAACAACTTTGCTCTTTCTCTCGTACTGCAAACAAACTATTTATGAACCCCCTGGTTAGATTTCAAAGGGATGCTGAAAGAAATGAGCCCCTGGTTATTTGCTAGAATTCTAAAACTGCCTTCCCTGCGGCTTTCCCAAATCATTTCTTGTTCTAGCACTTATGCTTTTAGGTAATGCTGACAATGCTGAGCTTGGGGTGGTGTTTATTTTTTAGTGTGTGGGGGAGCTTTAAAAAATTATAGGCTACATTCTAGCTCGTTGTCTGTATTCCTATGCATCTCTGCTGGGTGCAATGAGAAAAGAGTCTAGTCTAGAGAACTGTAGTGCTTCTGATGTCACTTGGGCCATTCTGTGGTCACAAAGTGAGCACCATTCTTTTAAGTCCATTGGTCAGGGCTATAACTGGAGGGGTGGGAAATCAAGAGATCACTGATAGCATGTCCTTCAGTAACCTACAAACAAGAGAGCTTCATGCCTAGTTAGCAAGGAGAGTTACCTAAACTAGGAAGTTTCCATCTGCAGGACTGGAATAAGCTTCCCCTTCCTCTCCTGGCCTCATGGACAGAGTGGCTTCAAGTGTGTTGCCCCTCTTTCACCCCAACCCCCCATCAACCGAGGATAGGCATCCTACTACTAGACCCCATCTAGTTGGTCTGTGGTACTCGTCCTAGGCACAAACATTGCTATGGTAGCTACTATTTGCTGCTGGATCTGCCTGAAGGGGCTTCTTTCTTCATCACTTTGGGGACTATCACCTCATTCCTTTTTTTCTTCCCAACCTGGATGGCATTGCAAAGTGAAGAACATACTGTCAGCGCTATAGAAAGACTAAGGAATGCCCTCAGATGTCCAATTAACGCACAAGTCCAAACCACCTGATGTCATCATTGGTCTCCCTTGAAAATGAAGGATGAACCATGACAACAAATCAAAGTAGGACCAATTTTCTAAAAGAGTATTTTACCTTATAAAGTAAAATCCTACCAAAAAAGATATTTAATGACACTGACTAATAGCTTTAAGGGTAAAGATCATCTCTATGAAGAAGCCATTTTCAGCTTTGGGGGTGTGCGATATAATAGGAACAGCACAGACACATCTTGTCAGGAGACTCTGAGGAAGTCTTTCAATCTTTTTGGGCCTCAGTTTCCTTATATGTAAAAATGTGGGGATAGATTTCCCTTCTAGCTCCTATGAAGCCCTATAAATCTCAACTCTGACACTTAGCTGTGTGACCACAGCCAAATCATTTAGCCCTTTTGGGTCTCAGTTCCCCTGCCCATAAATTTAGGATCATTATTCTCAACCTTGGGTTGCTAGGTGGCGGATAGAGTGCTGGCCCTGGAGTCAAGAAGACCTTGGTTCAGATATGACCTCAGACACTTCCTAGCTGTGTGACCCTGGGCAAGTCACTTAACCTTGTTTGACTCAGTTTCTTCATCTATAAAATGATCTGGAGAAGGAAATGGCAAACCATTCCAGTATCTTTGCTAAGAAAACCCCAAAAGGGGTCACGAAGAGTCAGACACGACTTAAAAATGACTGAACAGCAAATACTCAACCTACTTAATTCACAGGTTTGTTGGAATGAATGTATTTATGAATTTTAAAGCTCAATAGAAATGTTAGTAGTTATTAAAATACAGCCAATGGAATAACAATGCAAGCGACTTTAAAAAAGAAGCCCCCCTCTGTTCACCTCCTTCATTTTAAATAAGCATAGTGTGACACTGACTTGTGCTCTCTAAATGTTGATATTTTATGTATAAGCACTCAGTGTCTTGTTTCATTGTTCATTGATTTGCCATATTCCAAACCTGAACAAAGACCAATTTTCCTCTTTAGGGGGAAGTACATAGTATGTGCTTAATGGGGTGTGTGTGTGTGTGTGTGTGTGTGTGTGTTTTGCATGAGCCCCTCTATCAGTGCAGATCAGGTCCTGGATTAAAACTTGCAGTTATAATTGCCTGGGGCTCTGGATAATAATTTAGATCTGGAAGGACTTTAGAACACACCATTGAGTTCAGCCCCTCATTTTAGAGAGGAGAAAACTGAGGCACAAAAAGGTTGAGGGGCTTGCCCAGGACCACCTAGCCAGTGTGTGACAGAAGCAATCCTTGACCCTGGGTCTTCCTGACTAGAAGGTCAGCAGCCTGCCTAGCACATAGTAGGTGCCTAATCAATACTTGTCCACTGCCTTGTGACTATGTTAGAGCTACTCAGATGCCATATTGGTCTAAAGAGAGTCCACACTTCTCCCCCCACCGCCATATAGCTTGCACCAAATGTGAGTAAGGTGGGCAGAGCACCAACTTGGCCTGGAGTTCTAATCCCCTTGTGTCTTCATTCCTTCACAAGCCACACAGCCTTGCCTTTACCCTTCTGGAGGGAGGACTTTGCAAGGAAGTCACCAGGTCAGCCCTGATATTGATTATTGCTTTCCAAGTGGAAAATACCTAGCTGTCTTTTGTGCAGCAAGGACCTGGGAACAAAGAAACTCTCTGTGGACTTTTAAGAACTTCTTGTAACTGCAAAGTGTATCCACATAATAGAGATATCAGGGGACCTTGAGAGCACCCAGCAGGATGCTTGCAAAGCACTCATTTGGCCTTTCAATTCACGGAAACTCTAGAGCATGTTTTGGGTTGTTCTCAAACCTGGGCTTATCAGCCCAGCTTCCAGCTCCAATCAGCAACCCGTTCAGACTACCAAGGCACTGACTGCTCAGGGCTGTGTGATTGAAATCCCAGAATAGAAATCTAACCCCAAAGAGCCCTTTATCAAGATAAATGCCCAGTTCCAATTTATATCTACCCTCTTTCCTCTCCTTGTCCTCTAGAAAGCCTTCCTTCAAGGCCCAACTTATGTGCCACTTTCTATGGTGAACCCTTCCCGATCCCCTTCCTCATTAACAGTAATAAAAGCCAGAGAGAGGGAAGGAGGGGAGCAAAGGAATGGGGGCTCTAGGAAAGTCTCAGCCTTAAGAAAACAGGTAACAACTTGCTAGGAATGATGGATACAAATTCTGAAATTCAAGATCTGTTCTATACAATTTTTCTTGAATGACTACGTGTCAGAAGGAAAAGAAATGGAAGGTGGTGCGTTGTGCCTATGACCAAGGAGGCCTAGAAAGGTGTACTGAGGCTGGGTGTCAATGGGGGACTGATTTTTAACATGAAGGATGCCCAAGTGGGGCCTGTCTGGTCCTAATCTTGATGGGGAAGGGAGATATTATTGACAATTATACTATCAATACTTGGCTTAACTGCAGGCAACTTGGATAAAACTTCTACCCCGGTGATATCAAGCTCAAATAGAAACAGGGACCACTAAACCATACATAAAGATCCCTGTGGGCTGTGGAGTGACTTAGAAAACCACACAGTAACATTACCTATCTTCTGTTGTATTTTTATTTATTTTGCTAAATCTTTCCCAATTACATTTTTTTTATTATCATACTCCCGGCCTGAAGGCTGCCTGTTTGAAACCTCTATAAATGAGGAATTAATGATTTGCTTCCCTAATAGCAGTGCTGATAGTTAATATTGGTGGAGCTTGCTGAAAACTTGAGCTAAGAAGCAAGCTTTTGCTCCCCTCTCGGGGAAGCCGATCCTCTTTGTGAGCAGGACGGAGAAGCTCTACCTGAGGCTTGTGGGAAGGGAGCTGCTGGGGGCAGGTAGAAGCAGCAGCTCATGTCCAGGCAATGTGGTTACAGCAGCAGGGGAATGGTTAAGTTTACATCCAGCAGCTCAGGCTGATTGGCAGTAGGCATGATCAAAAGGTGACATCTCTGGGGATCTGCTGCTGCTCTCCCCAAGATCCCCCCCAGCCCTGAGGCTCCTGCATCATCCTAGGGGCCAAGCTAGGGATGGCTGGCTTCAGCTCCGTGAGTGTTCATGGTCCTGTGGCTGATGTAGGGGAGTGGAATGGGCATAAGTGGTCCCCCTGCTTTCAGAGCAAATAAGCAGCGTAGTAGATAGAGGATTAGATTTAGAATGAATAAGAATTGAGTTAAAATCCCACCTACCAAGATCTGGCAGATGAAACTAACAGCTTGGCTTGGGTTGAGTTTAGAGGTTACCACCTCCCTTCTCCTGGGTAGCCTTCTCAGTTGGCTTTTCTAACATCAACCACCATTTTGTTTAGGACCATGATACCTAATATTCTGTTATTCCCTCTTCCTCTTCCTCTATTAACCATAGAGCCCACAAGAGCTGTTCCATGTGTGACCCTGGGCAAGTCACTTAACCCCAATTGCCTAATTAAAAAAAAAAAGACCTGCTCCAGCCTTGAACTGCAAGGTTTCCTGTAACCCTCTCCTTGTGCAGTTATTACTGAAGGCACTGGCTAAAAAAAAAAGGATAGAAATGCCCCTATACCTACAGGCTCAACACTCGAGGTTTCTTGACTTTGTTAGAGAGCAAAGGAGGTGATTTTAGAGTAACCAGTCAGGGGAGTTGGGGGCTGAGGCCACCAGGTTCTTTGATGCATCAGAGGCAGCATACTGTAGGAGACTGAACTAGACCTCTGAGATTCCTTCCATCTCTAAAGTTCTGTTCTATCATTTTTAGTGAAGAAAAAACACAGCTAGAAAACTAAGTACCATCCAAGCCCTTCGAAAGCAGACAAACTAACCCCCGACTTACAGAAATGTTTAAAGAGTGAATCCCCAAGTCATTTCCTTGGAAAAAATGCATTTGTCCATGGAAACCATGTTTATACATGGTGATTACGTTCCCAGGCTCACCCCGAAAAGCCTATTCTATCCGCAGTATACCTAAAGAACAGTACCAGTTATGCCACAGAGACTAACCAGTGAAACAAATGTGATGAGGTTTCTAAAACAAAAGAGTGTTCCAGGGCAGCTATGTGGTGCAGTGGATACAGCACTGGCCTAGAGTCTGGAGGACCTGAGTTCAAATGTGACCTCAGACACTTGACACTTACTAGCTGTGTGACCCTGGGCAAGTCACTTAACCCATTGCCTAGCAAAAAGAAAAAGAAAAGTGTTCTTAGATAGATAGAGCATTAATAAATGCTTACCATGTGCCAGGTACTGTGCTAATTTCTGGGAATACAAGTGAATGAATGCATAATGCATTATTAAGAAATTACTACATACAAAGCACGGTGTTAAACACTGGAAATACGGGTTCTTAATGTTGATCCCCAGGAGTAATTGAGCATTTTGAAAACTTGGATGATGAAGCCCTGGCAAATCTGGGCATGTGATCAGCACAGTTACGAACCCCTCTTAATCTCTACAAATAGACCTGAAGCTTGGGGGGGGGTGTGTGTGTGACTATACCTAGAAGCTCAGGGGAGGGTGGGGAGGAGAACTGAAGGAATTGTAAATAGGAAGGAAGGACTGAGCAGACTAAGGAAAAGTTTAGCTGACCACTTTTCTTTCCCTACCCCTTTTTTTCCCAGGGAGAAAGGTGAGGACCAGAGTAGAAGATAGGGTTTCCCTTCTGCCCTCCTCTTCTCCCCTCCCTTCTCCCTTTCTCCTCTGCTGCTGATGGGATGCAGGGGAAAGGAGGAGGAAGACGGGGTGGCAGACGTCCCACCCTGTCTTTTCTTCTTCCTTCTCATCTTCTCCCTTCCCTTTGTTACTGCAGAATACTAGTGCCAGGGAAACCAGCTGAATACATACTGGGGAGGAAGAAGTGAACTGGCAGAATGGCTTTTTATTCCTTTCCTCTCCCTTTCCTTTCACTGGCATGTGCCTGCTTTCCACCTCCCCCAGCCCTTCTTCCTGTCTAAGAATTCTGGGCACTGAGGTGATGGGACTGGTGGAGGTAAAGAGCCTTAAAGGAGCATATGTCAGAGGTAGGGTCTGTGACAAAGAAGTTGAGTGGGAGGCTTAGGTGAGGGATGAGAAAGCAATCTCTAGGGATGGTCAGGAGGGGAGTTCCTGGACAGTGTGTCTGAGGTACCTCTTTGTTGGATGGATGGATTTGTCAGAAATAATAATAAACTCACATACAGTTTTAAAGACTGCAAAATGCTTTTGCAAGTAGAGCTTCACAATAACCCCGAGAAGTAGGTAATAAAGGCGTTATTATTCCCATTTTACAGATGAGCAAAATGAGACTCAGAACTATAAGGTGATGACCACATACATAAGTCACAGACTGCCTGAAATTGAATCCAGTATTTCTCTTAGATGATGGCAACGAGGTGAGTAAAATGAGTATCTGAAGGTTGTTCATGACCTATGCAATCTAAAAATGACACAAATCAATACCATCCCATTTTAAAATCTCACATATAACTTCTCAAAACCATCCTCTGACCTCCCTGGGTAATTATAGTACACAGAATTTCCCCCTTGGCTGATGTCAATGCATCCTGCTTCCATCAAAAAGCAGCCTTTGGGCCCAGGAATCAGACATTCAGGTGTGGCTGCTCCTAATTTACACACCTGGTGCTCATTAGCACTTCATTAATCGAGAAATCAGAAAAGTGCCAGCTTCTCCTGGACTCAAGGAGATGTCTAGGCACCAATAACTAAGATGGGATCATAGGAGTGGAGATGGAAAGTGAGAACTGGTAGGGACCTTAGAGCTCATTGAGTTCGATCCCCCCAGCGTGTGATTTGTTCTCACCACCCCAGAATGAAACAGGCATTAATTACTCTTAAGGGGAGTCACTTATCAATGTGTGTCCGGCACTTACAGCCCATCACAACCTGGCCCCAGCCTGCCTTTCCCACCTGATCTCACATGTCTCTGGGAGCGTGGCAAAGCAGAGAATGTTGCATGTGGCTCACAAACTGAGCACGAGCTCTGTCCATCTGGTGTCAAGCACTAACTCACCAATTAAAAGACCCCCTCGCTGCATTTCTCCCCCTCCTCACCCCTCCACAAAAACATCTTGTGTGATAACCTCTGTTCAGGGTCAAGGCATCTTATCGACTCAGTCAGCTCTTGCAACATTCCCCCTCAATTTCCTTTTACCTGAAGCACCCCCCCCCACTTTGTGGTTTAAGAATATATAAACCCCATGTGGATGCCCATGTGGAAGGGGCTCCCTTGCTGGCAATCTCCATAAACCCCAAGACAAGTTTGATTCTCTGAGATCTCATTATTCCTGCATCACCTACATGGACACAGAGTCAGGAAGGCTGAAGTTCTCTTACCTTGGATACTTAAGTCACTTAAGCTCCCTAGATTCTAGTTTCCTCTTCTGTAAAATTATTCAAGAGTTAGATTCAATGACCTCTAAGGTCCTTTCCGGCACTAAATCAATGATTCTATGATCCTTTGTATATTATGGTCGAGCCAAACTGGCCATCTTACCATTCCTCAACACAGAACTTGATCTGCCATGTCTGTGCCTCTATGTTGGTAGCCCCCCCCGTGCCTGAAATTCACTCTTTTCTCACTTCTACCTCTTAGAATCCTTGGCTTCTTTCAAGTCTTAGTGAAATACCACATGAACCTTTTCCTGATCTCCTCCATCAGCTCAAGCCTCATACCATCCCCTACCCCATTAGCTTGTAGCTCTTTTGTATAGACTGACCATTATGGATTGATTGTCACCCCCTTAAGAGGATTTGACTTTTAAAGTCTTTGTACCCCTTGTACTAGAACAATGCCTGGAACAGAGTAGGTGTTTCATAAATGCTTGTTGACTGTTTGATGGATTGATCTGGCCACAGATATCACAGGAGAAAGAAAAAAATTGGAAGTTCATTCAAATCTCCCACCCCCACCTTGAGCCCTGCCAGTGCTCACCCCAGGAGTTTCTGGCTGTGAAATCCAATGACATAATGAATGCTGCCAATGTGATGCATAAAATGTTACTAATTTACTGAGAACAATACCCATGTCCACTTTTAAAACAACCATAAAATTCAACAAGAATCTGGTACCATACTAAATGAACACAGTGAACTTACAGCTTTGAACCCCCGAGCCAAAGTAAATGGAAATGTGAACTCACTGTAAACTGGATTTGGCATCCACCCATGATGTAATCTAAGAAGGAATGCATCTTGTGAATCTGAAAAGAAGGAATTGGAAGAATTCTGATTAGTAACGGTAGATTTTGTTTTGTTATTGATTTAAGGGCTGAACTTTGGACGGGGAGCTAAAACTCATGAGTGAAGAAGCAACAGCACCAGTGCAGGAAGAAACCTATGCTCTTTTCCTTCTTCTGGTGCAAGATGGGAATAGAGAAATACAAACCACTGGAAACACCTGCTTTTCTTCTTCCTCTGTTTTGGCCAGTTGCAGAAGGCAGCTGGGGTGCAGTAGGAAGAGTGTTAGAGTCCTGGCTCTATCACTTACTATGTCCCCAGTGAAAAAGATCTACTCTTGCATCTTCCACTGCCTGCTGGACAGCTCCATCTCGTGTTCCTTCCTGACCGCTCTAACTCCATGTGTCCTAAACTGAAATCCTGGTCTTTGCTCTAGCCCTAATCTTCCTCCCAGAGGATGTAGGCTGAACAGTTGGGATTCAAGGCTGGTGGTGTATTACTAGGATCAAGAGGCAAGAGGTGTATTACTGGCCTAGCGAAGAGAGAGCTGGCCTCAAAGCCAGAGAGACCCACCTTCTGCCTTAGACATAGACTGACCCTATGATCCTGAGCAAGTCACATAAACTCTCCATGTTTGAGGGAACTCTCTGAGACTAGAAATTGTAGAGAAGGTACCAACCTACATTGGCAGAGGGACTTTCTTCACTGGGGAAATGAGGCCTGAATAAGGATACCTGTGTTGACTTAGAAACCACATATCATCTGTATTTGTATGTGTGTGTGTGTGCGCTGTTGATAAATATTTCCCAATTGTATTTTAATCTGGTTTGGGCCACACTTGGGAGTGCATTTCTGCCCTACACAAATGAAATCACAGGCTCATACCCTACCTTAAATTGGCATCATGTTTGTGAGTCCAAAGCAATATATATTATTTCAGTTTTCTTTCTTTTCACACACAGGTAGGATAGAAATGATCTCTTTCTTTGCAGAAAAGGAAACAGACATGGAGAATGAAGAAATTGCCTGACTAGTCACACAGTGCACATTTGCCTAAAATGTCTGAATACTAACTACCAACAGAAAACAAGGCAGGCTTGCTAGACTATTTATTATGTGCGCACAGAGATTCTCCTGTGCAGTGAAGCAGCTCCCTCTGAGTACTATGTCTTCCTTCTTGGTTTTCAATTTATCTTCTTGCCTCTCTTTATTATTCTCCTTTCAGCACAGGCTGATTAAGATATAGATGAAAAAAATCAAGATGATCCCAGGAAGGGAGGATCAGTATTCTTTAACTTTTCCCCCTTCTATTCTTTCATATTAACTTATGCCTTGTTCTTAAACACAGAACGCTAGAATTTGAATCTCAACTCTAATATTTAGTAGCTGTGCAACCCTGGTAAAAGCACGTCCCATCTCTGTGCCTCAGTTTCCTCATTTGCAAAATGTGAATAACAATTTTTATACTGCTTATGCCACAGGATTGGTTTTGAAACCTGAAAACCCTGTTGAAGTGTGGGTTATTATTTTGGCTGTGGCTTCCCCCTCCTTCTGACAACCTTACTTGCAACTAAAAGGGAGAAGAATGTTTCTGGTCCTACCTTGCACTGGTTCAGAATAACCATGCCCGAGTTCTTGTAATTCTTCTTCTTGGCTTTGTACTTTGGATTGATGCACTCCCACTGTACCTGCAATGAGATTAGTCACAGAGTGAGAGCAAGGAAGAAATTGAACCATTAAGATCAAACCAGTGTGCTCTGAGATCGATATAAACGTCGACAGAAATCTCAAGTCAGCAGCAAGGGGACAAGTGGCCAGTCCAAGAAACAGATTATGGGGCCTGGAGGACATGGTCTGGATGAGTTCAGGCCGTGGAGGGGAGGCAGATACATTAATAGTGAGGGAACATGGCCCCATAATTCGTGTTCTGGGGCTAAACTGGATAGAAAGAGAATTAAAAGATAAGAAATACTGAGGAGTGCGTGCTGAAGGCTCCAGGAAGTTACTGAGGCATCAGAATGAATGTATATCATCTATCCAGGTAGTTAACTGTGCTCTGGTCTATCCTCATCAGAACTGAATGGGGCTTTTCTGGATGATGAGGACAAATATGAGCACAAAGCTCCCTGTCACCTGGCCCCTTCCTCCCTTCCCAGTCTTTTTACACCTTTACTTCCCGCCATGGACTCTGCAGTCCACCGACACTGGCCTCCTGTTCCTCACACATTTCAGTCACCTCCCTCCTCTCTGCATTTGCATCGACTGTTCCCCTTGCCTATAATTCTGTTGTACATCATCTCTGCCTCCTGTCTTCCCTGACTTCCTTCAAGTCCCAGCTAAAATCCCGCCATCTACAAGAAGCTGTTACCAATTCCCATTAATGTTGGCATCTTCCCTCTGTTCATTAACTCCAGTTGGGCCTTTATGTATCTTGTAAGTACATTGTTCACATGTGGCCCACCCTAGGAGATTTTGCACTCTTTTTTTTTTTTGTATCCGTGGAGCTTAGCACACCGACACATAGTAACTGATACACTAAATGCTTATTGACAAAGAAGGAAGGAAATGGCATCAGGCGCTGTGCTAAGTATTTTACACATATTATCTCATTTGAGGCTCACAACAATGGGGACTTGGCATTTCAGCTGCAGAAACTGAGGCATTCAAAGGTTAAGTGAGTTGCCCGGGGTCGCACAACTGCTGAGTTTCTGAGGCACTTGACATGACGCAAGAATCAGGATGGGCAGATGGTGGTAGAAAATGGGGGTGGAGGAAGTAAGACATAGGCTGGGGTACAGTATATGAAGGCATCCGCTCGCAAAAGCTTTCCACCTATAGGCACCCTGGTGGGACATGATCAATCATTATCTAATCAATCCACCAGACAACTATTTTTTGAAGACATATCATATGTGTATTCAAAACAAAAACCCCATATATCACCTTTGTCATCTACTTGTCATTACCCAACACTCTCCCAGGAAGGAATGAGAAGGACAGTATTGCTTTGGATGAGGCTCTACTATGGTGCTGCCTTCCAAGTCATAAGTCAGCCTCTCTGTGCCTCAATTTCCTCATCTGTAAAATGGAGATAATAATAGCACCTACTTCTCTGGTTTGTTGTAAGGATAACATGAGCTATTTGTAAAGGGCTTTGTGAACTTTAATGCACTATATACATGCTAGCCATTATTATAATAATGAAATAAATGAATAAATATCATACAGGGACAACATTATGTACTAGATTTTAATGTTCCAAGACCTAGGCTGGGGTCCTGCCTCCATGCCTTTTTTAGCTTTGGGAACCTCAGTCCAAACTCTCTGAACCTCAGTTTTTTCATCTGTAAAATATGAAGTTAAAATACTTGTTTGATTTATCTTACAGGGGTTTTTTTGTTTTACAAAGGTCAATTGAGATAACATATGTAAAATGTCTTGAAACCATAAAATTCCATTTAAATGTGGGTTGTTGTCACTATTGTTATCATACATAAATTAATTCAAACTGGGAAGAGAAGTGGTATGTGGCCCGTACTGGTTTTAGAAGCAAACTGGTCCAAGAGACATGAGCCAACTCTCTCTTAATGAGTGGAAAGAATTGAAGTTCCTGTGATATGGTAGAGAAGACACTGGCTTTAGGGTCAAGGGACCTGGTTTCAAACTCTACCTTGGATGCTGGCCACTTGTGTGACTTTGGGCAGACCCCTTACCCTCCTCTGGCCTCTCTTTCTTTACCCCTAAAATGAGCATGTTGCCCCGAAGGACCTCTAGCTCCTCTGATGACTGTGAACAGAGACACTTCTCTGAGCTCTGGGGAACAGTGGTCACTTCATGGACATCTATTGTCTCCCCTGAACTAGGCCTTGCTATGATTACTTTATGGGACTTCCACTCTGTTTGCTGATAATGAGAATTCTAGTCTCTTCCTAAACAATGACATAAGACAACTAGCAACAAAACCTAGGTCAGCCAGATTGGCTCCAGGAAAAATCCAAAACCAACCTTGTATAAACCAGCCACAGGGTGACTGTCTCAGTCCCAACAATGTTAAAGACATGCAGGGAATGTGACTTGTCATGGGCAGGGGGGACAAGGGAAGGGACAAGGAAATTATGTGCAGGAAGGGATGACTGCCCGTAGGTGACAAGCAGAGTGAAGTGAGGCATTTCATTCATTCAATAGACATGTATTACACACCTGCTAGATGCATGGTAGGGCATCTAGGTGGTGAAGTGGATACAGTGCTGGGCCTGGAGTCAGGAAGCCCAGTGTAGCTGGATCTTAGAGGGCATAAAGGAGAGTAGAGGGTAGACGACTGCAAAGGTAAGAAGGCTTCAGGTTGTAAGGAGCTTCAAAGGCTAGAGGGCTCTTTGATACTGAAGGTAATAGGGAGCTACTAAGATTTACTGATTAGGACCACTAGGGGGTGCCATAGTGCAGAGCGCACCAGGCCTGAGTCAGGAAGACTCCTCTTCCTGAGTTCAGACCTCATACTCTTACTAACTGTGTGACCCTAGGCAAGTCACTTAACCCTGTTTGCCTTAGTTCCTCATCTGTAAAATGAGCCAAAGAAGGAAATGGCAAACAACTGCAGTATCTATGGCAAGAAAATCCCAAATAAGGTCACAGAGAGTCAGATACTACTGACAAACAACTGAACAAAAATAATTTACTGAGTAGAGGGAGTGATGTGGTCAGACCTTCACTTCAGAAAATTATCAATTTGTCATCTGAGTGGTTAATGCATTGCAGGGGTGAGGAACTGGAGGCAGGAGATTAATTAGAGGATTTTATAATAATTTGGGTATATGGTGATGAAGACCTGAAATAGGGTGGTGCTGTCTGAGTGTAGAGAAGGGGGCATAGAGGACAGAGCTTGTGAAGGTAGAAATAGCTAGACTTGAAAATAGATTGGGTATGTGGGGTTGGTGCCAGTGAAGAGTCAAGGATGACATAGGTTTTAACCTGGGGTGACTGAAGAATTGGGGTGCCCTTGGCAATAATAGGGAAGCTCCCAGTAATGATGGTACCACCCTTATCCTACCTTTATAACGATTTCAGTGTCACCCAGAGCTTTACTGATTATAGGGACAAAAACTCTGGGCTTTTCCTTTCCAAATTCAGTAATATTTTTGCAGAATTTTAATAGAACCTTAGAGTTGGAAGGAACCTCAAAGGTTCCTTTCCATTTTTGTCGACCATAGCCATATCCATTTAACAAAGCTTAAGTTAAACAAAAAAACAAGAGCTCAGCTCAGGAAATGCCTTTCCCTAAGTCAAAGACCCCAGTTTGTCTTCAGTAAGGGCAGATGCTTTAATTTCCCTCCCTTTCAGAGCTCTCCACATTTTCTATCACGTACTTTGTGATTAGCTTTTTAACAAAGGACTTCAGATGGCTGGAACTTGATGAGAGAATTTCCCAAACTCCCCCAGTGCAAAATGTGCCAGTCTGGATTCCAAGAATCTCAAGTCCCCTGAGAAATGGTCCACATCTCACAACTAGCATCCACGTACCTCTTGTTCAATCAGTCATCCTGACCTACATCTTGGCACTGGACTCAGATGACTCTGGAGGAGAGAGGGAGACTGATGACTTTGCACGGCCCTGCCTCACTTAAATCCAGTTCACTTGCAAGTCAAGATATCACCCTCTTGATATCATTGGTCCTCATCTAGGACCCCATCGAGTCATCACGATCTCAGTTAAAGGCAAAGCAGTTTAGTGGGGACCGGATGGCTGGACTCAGCCAAGTGATCTAAGGGAATCCCAAGTTCTCCTGACCACCCCTGCTATAATAATCATAACAACAATATTATAGCCTAACGTTTCATCCATCGATTATCTAGTCCATAAAACATGAAATAATAATAATAGAGGAAGTGTGGTATAAAGGAAGGAAGGAAGGATGCCTTGGAGGCTAGGGGTCTGTATTCAAATCCCACATAACCTCCACCTCCTGAATGTGGTTTGCTCATCTGTAAAATGAGGCAGTTAGATTAGAGGGAGCACTTAGTCTATGAGAAGATAAGCACCTGGGATTATAACAACTTGTCCCAGGACCATTTCTGGGTCACCACCTTGCCTGCCATCTCCCCTCAGACAGGCCAAGGCTCTAAACCCAAGATCCTTGGGAGTAGCAATGCTTCCAGCCCTATGTCCTCAGCCATCATGCTGGGGACCAACTGTTATGGAGATGCTGCCTGGCCACTGCTCCGGTATCTCTCATTTACTGAAGCCCTTGAAGAGAGAGCTCCTTCTACCCAAGTCCCTGGCACTGTCAGATAGTTTGACAACAAAAAACTGATGCTACTTTATCAATGGAAATGATATTAAAAAAGAGGCATGAACATCTGCCTTGCCTTTACACCTGAGGACCATGGGACCCTTCCATCTAACTTGCAGCAGAAATCTTCCATGTATCCTGTCATTGTTATTAGAACGTAAGCTCCTTGAGAACAGGGAATGTCTTACTTTTCTATTTGTATTCCCAGTGCTTTGTATACAGTAAGTGCTTAATAAATACTTCATTCATTCATATCTATTTGAACTCCATCAAACAAAACAACACAACTGAAATTTATATAATAGCCCCTTTTAAAGTTGGCAGTGTCTTCTGTATATTGCCTTGCATGCCAAAGCCTCTAGAAATGGTTAGATGTCCCTAAATGATAAATTATCAAAATTATGAATAGGCAGTTTTCAGAGGAAGAAACCTAAGCTATCAGTAGTTATATAAAAATGCTCCAAATTACTAATAATTCATGAATGGTGCTCCAAACTGGCTGGTCTGCACAGCCACTTTGGGTAGTTCAAAATCACTGAATCAGAGGATCTAGAGGTAGGAGACACCTCAGAAGCCAATTAACCCAGCCTGCAACTTACCAAGAATCTCTTCTATAACATCTAGAGGCAGTGTGATATAGTGCTTAAGGTACTGGCCTTGGAATCAGGAAAACTTAGGTTCCTAATCTGCCTCTGGTACTTACTAATGGTGTGGCCCTTGGCAATCCACTGAGCCTGTTTCCTCACGTTCAAAATGAGGCCATTGGGCTATATGACCTTTTGAGGTCCCTTCCAGTTCTTAATCTAAGATTCCCAATGAAGGGTCACTTGGCTCTTTTTGTGAAGACTTCCCACATCCTTCCCAGGCAGCACTCAACTTGTGGACAGCTCCATTAGGAGCTTTTCTCTCAGAGCAAATCTTCCCAGGCAGCACTTCAGTTGTGGGCAGCCCTGTTAGGAGCTTTCTCTTAAAGCCAACCTAAACCTGTCTCTCTGTAACTTCCAGCTGAGGGGCTAAGAAGAAAAATTTCAATGCCTCCCCCCTCCCTTTCATACATGACAGCCTTTCAGATACTTAAAGTCAGCTCTGGGCCCACTGGCATCTCCAGTGCTCCCTAGATGGTGTCAAAGGTACAAATGTCACTATAGGATGGAGAGTGACAGGTTTCTTCTTTTTTGTCCTTCAAATAGAGAGGTCAGCCAGCAGGGGAGTCAGGAGAAGCTCATTTTCTAAATTCCAATTAAGGCAAAGTCGAAACCAGCCTCCACAGAAGCCATTTAGCAAGGATAGTTTCATTTTGACTTCATTCTCCACTTCCCAAAGCAAAAATAAATAAAACAAACCAGTAAGTAAAGAGTCCCCATGTTGTGAATATATCAGATCTCCACAGTATGGGGGCTGAACAGTTATTTATTTAGTCAGTTCCCAAAACAGGCATGCATAGAAGTACTGCAGAGCATATTTTCATGAAGTGGATCAGAAAATTCTTGGAGAGTATCTTTAGATTTTGTTGTTGTTGAATTTTTTTTTTCAGTTGTGTCTGACTCTTCGTGACCCCATTTGGGTTTTCAAAGATACTGGCGTGGCTTGTGATTTCATTCCACAGCTCATTTTACAGATGACAAACTGAGGCAAACAGTGTTAAGTTACTTGCCCAGGGTCACACAACTACTAAGTGTCTGAGGTCACATTTAAACTCAGGTTCTCCTGACTCCAGGCTAGGTCCTCTATCCATTTATTCCACCTAGCTGCCCTAATCTTAAGATTAGACTTCATTAAATTAAAAAAAAAAACCACTAGGTATCGGGAGGGGGGAGGCATTTAACTGAGATATATAACATTTTAATTTTAAATATCCTCCTAGGATAAATAACAATATGATGGGATCATATAATAATAGCTAACATTTACCTAGCACTTTAAGGTTTGCAAAGTTCTCTTTATATGCTAACCCATTTGATCTTCACAGCAACCCTGGGAGATAGGTGCTATTATTATCCCCATTTTACAGATGAGGAAACTGAGGCAAAGAGAGGTTAAATGACTGGCCCAGGGTCACACAGTGTCTATGGCAGGATTTGAACTCAGTTCTTCCAGACGCCAAGTCTTGCTCTCTATCCATGGTGCCACACAGATGCATCAGTACAAAATGGAAGGCATTTAATAAATGTTCCTTGCATTGAGTTGAGCTATATAGCCTTGAGCTACTCTCAAATTTTAAAAATGAATGGATGACTTCTATAGTCTTGTCCAACTCAGAAATCCTTGACCACTTTTTAACTCGAGGCAGTAACAGGCACCACTGTTTGTCTGTTAACTCTGATCTGTCCCCCCATTGTTTTAAGGGGGAATTAACTCCCATTTCAGCTTTGGGGTCCCTAGTCCAGTCACTGTTACAGCATGCTTTGGGGATCCCCTGCATTTTCTGTGTCAGGCAGTTAGCCCTCCACGGTGGGTATGCCTTGTAACTGATATCATCTATCATGAGAACTGTGTTAAAGCCCAGACCAAACGAATCTTGAGGCTTCTAGGTCTTGGAAAAGCTGGCTTAGAATAACTGGAATGGCCCTCAAGTCTATGTAGGGTCAGTTTTCTCACTCAGTCTGATCACATCTCGACTTTAAACTTGGCCTAAGGAGAAAGCCTTGGGCCACCTCCATGAAGCATTGGTTTTCACCACGCTGGGCCACCAGAGATGGTTTTAAATAGGCAGGGCACAGAAATGACCTCTGTCCCTTTAGTTTCTGTCTGTTGCTGTCCAGTCACTCTTTGGTCCTCACTTACAGCCCTGACTTGGATGCTGAAGTCTTAATCATGACAGAAGTTAAAACAGCAAAGGGATTGATTTTCCTCCACTATTACTGGCCGCAGTATCTACTCAGTTAGGAGATGGCCTAATGAATTCTCATGAAATTGTCCCTGTCCCTGGATTTCTAGGGGCTTTGGCCAACACTGGTATGACTCTTCTGGCAGCAACCTCCTCAGGTCTCACCTTTCCGACAAGTTTTCTCTTCCAGTCTTTGATTGGATCTGAAGGACCAATGTGGATGGTAGGTTTGAGAGGTAGGGGGCAACTCAGAAGGCATCTATTCCATTGCTTGCATTCTGGCATTTTGTTTGGTCTGGACCTGTGTTTTCATTGCTGCAGGATGATGTAGATCAATAACTGTTTTATAGTCTTAGAAATGTCTGAGGCACTGAAAAGTTAAGTGACTTGCCCAGGGTCACACAGCCAATATATGTCGGGGTGGGATTTGAACTCAGATTCCAAGGCTATCTAACACATCTCAGCACACTGTCTCTTGACACCCTCTGAGTCTAAATTCATCACTCTTTCTCCTGTAACATGTAGGGCCTTCAAGAACATCTAGTCTTACCACCACTGCCCCATTTTATAGATGGGAAAACTGAGGTCAGAGGGGAAAATGGATTGTCTGAGGGTGTAAACTGGGGATGTATTGCAAAGCTGAGATTTGAGCTCAGGTCTTCCTGGAGGAACTGTTTTGATATACATGTATACCTCATGGGCTCTTTTTTTGGTCCTCTTAAGATTTAGAAATCATTTCATCCAACTTCTTCATTTTCCAAGTGAAGAAACTGAGCACCCGCAGAAAGTGAAGTGATGTGCCCCAGGTCACCCAGGTGGTATAAATAGCAGAATTAGGAAGATTCAAATCCATCTCCTCTGAGAGTAGATCCAGGAATCTTGTGAATTGTGACTCTTGTGGATCAGTGAAGTAATGTTTATGAAGTATTCAGCACCAAATGTACAATGATAAGCCGTTGGTATTTCTGGATGTAAAAGTATCAAACACATGTAAGAGATGAGTGTTCCTAATGTGACCATTTGCCATGCACAAGGACAAGAGCTTGTGCCTTACACAATCTGGTTTCTGCTCTTATTGGAGTTGGAGGAGTTGGTCTCTTTGGGGGTTGAGATGATGAACATCTTAATACAGGAGGGACTTCCCTGTGAGGTCTAGTTTAGCTATGTATGCTGTGACTATGGGTATGTGATTTAATGAGCTTCAGATGACTCCCTAGGACTACAAGGTATAGAAATGTTCTGATCTGGATGTCTGGAGAGAGTCTGCTCATGGATGAAGCCATATAGCCTTGTCCTACCCGTGTTTGGCTATGTGAGTACTTCATGCTTATAACTTTTGTCCCTCTCTCTAAAGGAATGCTGCGAGAAGAAGCCTGAACAAAGCCACTCAGAGTTACAAGGCTCAACAGTGAACATTCACAAGTTTCATAGTAAATGCTTAAGGCATGAAACAAACCAGGAATTCCCCCACCCCTCGGCTCTTACCTGTTTTCCTTCCATCGCTCCTCTCATCTCCTTGAACGTCGAGGTAAATTCTCCAATGAAATCATGCTTGCCGTTGGAGTCCCAGTCCCAGACGATGCACTGCAAGAGAAGGAAATAAGCATCCTTTAGAAGGCTGCCTCTCTCAGGGGAAGGTAATGTGGACTTTGTAAAAGGTCAGATGCTTGAAGAGGGAGGAGGAGGAAAAAAGAATAAACAAATAGTGTCTGGTCTGGGAGGAGAGGACACCCCAAGGCAGCTTCCATTGACACAGATTAAGAACTCATCTGTAAATAGAGTTTTAGAGCTGTGGGGCTGGGGGGGGCGAGAAAGGAGGGGTCTGAGACATTGATCAACTGTGGTCAGACGGCTAGTGGGTGTTAGAGGCAGGTCTTGGATCTAGATGTCCCTAGCTCCAAGAATTCTACCCATTCTATTATGGATCTTGAAATAAGAAATTGCCCCTGCTTTCTTGAAACTTAGAATCCAGTGTGGTCACCTGCCAGCAAAAACAGGTTTTTCCACTCAGGACAGTGAGGGCCACCAGTCTCATTTTCCACAATGGACATTAGCACCAATATATATACATATACTGTAAAGAACAAAATAAAGTTAAAAGTGTTATGCAAAGTCTGAAAGGAGAAGAAAAGATTATTTTAGGCAATGCTGTATGTCTTCTGTATATAGTCTGAATATGTGTTTGTGTATGTTCTGTCTCCCTATTAGAATGCAAGCTCTTAGACAGCAGTTATGATTTTCCCTTTTGATTTTCTATTCCCCAGAACTTAGCACAGTCCCTGGCACATAGAAGACACTTAAATGTTAGCTGATTGATTGATCGACTGAAAAGAGGAGGTAGGGGAAACAGGAATAGAGAGGTGGATACTGAATAAATCTGATGGTCAGTGTGCTGCCAATCGGCAGCATAGTCCAGAGGGAAGAGAGCTGACCGAGGAGAGTAAGGTCACCTGGGTTCTAGGATCAGCTCTGCACTGATTAATTACATTAATAGGCAGCTAGGTAGCACAATGGATAGAGTGCTGGGCCTGGAGTCAGGAAGACCCGAGTTCAAGTCCAACCTCAGACACTTATTAGAAGTTGGGTGATCCTGGGCAAGTCACTGAACCTGTCTGCTTGGTTTCCTCATCTGTAAAATGAGGATAACAATAGCAGCTATCTCCCAGGATTGTTGGGAGGATCAAAAGAGATAATATTTGTAAAGTGCTTTACAAACCTTAAAGTGCTTTGTAGATAGTAGCTAGCTATTATTATTAGTTTAGACAAGTCACTTAACCTCTCTAGGCTTTGGTTTCCTCATCTACAAAATGAGAGACTAGGACTGGATTCAAACAACTGCACTTGAGGACCTAGAGGGCCACATGTGGCCTTGAGGCTGCCGGTTCCCCAGCCCTGGACTAGATAATCTTTAAGGCTACACTTAGCTCTAGTTTTCTAACATCCTATGAAATCCAATCACGGCCAACAGAAAATCTGGAGGAAGGAAATCCTTTGCAATCTTAAGCAACCTATTGGAAAGAGAGAGCAACTGAATTCAATCAAGATTTAAGGCCCAAAACATACGAGTCAAAATGCACACCAGTACTGCTCAGCAAAGGGCTTTGTTAACCAGAACTATGATTTCCTTGGCATAGGCAATTCTCAGTGGGCGAAACCTCCTACCCATACAGATCTGCCCCTGCTTTAAAATCTATAGTCTCAGAGAGCATTAGTCTTAGAAGAAGCATTAGTCTTAGCTTTGTAGTTTTAGAAGCTTTGAGAAGTTACATAATTTACCCAGGGTCACACAGCCAGTATGGGTCAGAAGTAGGACTTGAAATCTGGTCCTCCTGACTTCTAGACCCGCTCTCTATCCACTGCACCATGCTAGCTCCAAGCAGAGGTCACCTGCCAGCAAAAACAGGTTTTTCCACTCAGGATAGTGAAGGTCAGCAGCCTCATTTTTCACAATGGACATTAGCACCAATCGATGACTTGGCCCTTTAGTAAAACCACTTTGGATAAATTGAATGAGAGACAAGATAGAGATTGCCTTATAAGGGGTCACGTTCATTTATTACCAAGAAGTTTCTTCTACCTTTCCTTAGTTTCCACTTGCCTTCCCATCTCCTCACATCTCAGAGTGACTTTTTTTTTTTAAATGGAGACATTTAGCTCTTGGGGAAGAGAATAGGAAAGATGAAGAGAGCTTCAGGGTCCAAATGTGCTGTGACCAGCCCACTGGCACTCACACATTGCCACTACCCACCCCGTCGCAATACCTTCCTTGTCAATTCTCTCAAACAAGATGTATGTCAAGCTGTTAAAGGTGACAAGCATAAGCAACCTCTCTTCTCCCTTTCCTAAGAGCAGTTCCTAACCTCTACTCTCCACCTTTTCACCCCACCCACCCCATGCAGCCTTCCTTGATTAATTATAATCAAGGGGTAACACATTTCATTTGACCCCACTCTGTCTGAACATGCTCCTCTCTCTTCCTCCCAATACACCCTTCATCCTCTGCTCATATGCAGGTTCAATATGGGATTGTTGAATTATTCCATTCTTTCACTTGCTGCAGCCAATGCAGCTCAGATTTTCTTTTAGTAGCCAGAAACTGGAAACAGAGTGGGTACCTATTGATTAGGGAATTGTTGAACAACTTATGGAGTATGAGTGTTGTAAGATCTTATTGCCCAGTTAGATTATACTACATATGAGGAATCAGAGAAACATGAGAAGACTTGGATGAACTGATTCAGAGTGATGCAGAACCAAGGGAATATAGACAATAAAACCTGCCCCACTGTCCTCTAGCTCTTATGTACATATTCACTGGTGAGTCTTCCTTAAAGAATGCATTCTCTAGCTACTAAAGAATCAAAGTGTTAAGCAAGCTTCATCTTCCTTTTCCTCCAGGAGTTCCTGATAAATACAACGCCAAGGGGCATCCGTAATGATACTAAACACCACAATCACTTTTGGTGCCAGAAAACTGATCAAAAAACATCCTTCCATCTGCTCAGCAGAGAAGTGGTAGAGTATGGGCTCCAAATATTGCACAACTTCTCAGACACATTGGCAGCACTGGTCTGTTTTGTATAACTGCTTATAAAGGAGAGTTCTATGAAGGGCAATTATTGGGAAATGAATATGGCTGTGACATAAAAAAAAAGAAATGATTCAAATGAAATGTTTAGCATTTATTTGGGGAGCCTGATGTCTATCTGTGTTGGTATTTCCAGTCTTTGTAATCTGCTGGCAAAGAAGGACCACATGTGTTAACTGAGGAAGGGGTTAATAGTAGAAGGAATATGGGTGACTTTGGATAAGTGCCCTTCAGCTTCCTCATCTGTAAAAAGGGAGGATTGGATTAAATGATCTCCAAGGACCCTTCCAGCTCTGGACCTGTGACCCCTTTCCCAAATACAATTCTATGAATGCCCTCACCTAGAAGCCTGGATCTCTCCCATTCAGAGAGAGGAAACATCATTGTGCCTTGTAGGTCCTGCCACCTCTAAATCTCCCAGGTGATTTCCTGTCTCTCCACTCATTTTCATTTGGTTTTAATAATATTTTATTTGTTCCCCAATTACATGCAAAGACAATTGGGAACATTCTTGTCTCTCTACTTTAGTTCTGACTCTGATAACCTCTTGCATAGACCAGTCTAACAATCTTCCAATGGCTCTCTGCATCTCTCCAATCCATCCTCCACAGAGCTGACAAAGTGACATTCCTAAAGCACAGGCCTGGCCATGTTTCTTACCTCAAGAAGTTTGATTGTCCCTATTGTCATTAGGATGAGATATAACCTTTTCTGGCATACAAAGTCCTCCACAAAATGGTTCCAGTGACCTTTCCATATTAATAATAGTATTAATTTTACATTAATTTCTAATTTATTTAAATGATAAATTTAATATATTTAAATTAAATTATTTTAATTTAACTAATTAATTATATTAAATAATATCAATTTCCATGTTATTATTAATCATAAGAAGAAGAACTAACATTTATATAGCACTTACTATTTGTTAAGCACTTCACAATTATTATCTTATTTGATCCTCACAACAAATCTGAGGAGATGCTATCATTATCCCCATTTTACAGATGAGGAAACTGAGGCAAATAGAAGTTAACTGACTTACCTAGGGTCACACAGCTAAGATGTGTCTGAGGCTGGATTTGAACTCAGGCGTTCCTGACTGCAGGACTAGTGATCTGTCCACTGCACCACCTAACTGTTGCTAGGCTTCTGCTTATACTATGACAAGGCCCAAAGTGGCCACATATGTCATTTCATCCCTGACTTGTGCACCTTTGCACCATACCTGTACCTGTTAGAACCCTGAGCTCTTTTCAAGGGCCACTTCCTTCAAGAGCTCTTTCCTTATTTCCCAGGTCATTGGTAGACTCCAAATTATTTTTTGTAAATTGAATTTACTTATCTGTAAACATGTTGTAACCTCCCCCGCAGAATGTAAGCTCCTTAAGATCTTTCCCTTTTTTGTATCTGAATCCTTAGCAGAGAACCAGGCAAATAGCAGGCACTTAATAAATGCTTGTTAATTATTTCCTTCAAAACTCTGTTCAAGTGCTATTCTCTACGGTCCCCCCAATAAGTCCCTTGTATTTATTTTCTTCTAGTCTTCCCTACTGTTACCTCCCATCTATTCTTTATGTATCTTTTTATGCACCTGGTTATCTATATGTCATTTTGCCCATGAGAATGTAAGCTCCCTGAAGGCAGGGATTATTTTTCTTTTCTTTGAGTACTTAGCATTTAGCATAGCTCCTGGCACATTTTTGTTGTTTTTCAGTCATTTCAGTCATGTACAACTCTTCCTGACCCCATTTGGGGTTTTCTTGGCAAAGATACTGGAGTGGTTTGCCATTTCCTTCTCCAACTCATTTTATAGATGAGGAAACTGAGGCAAACAGAGTTCAGTGACTGGCCCAAAGTCACACAGCTAGTAAGTGACCGAGGCCAAATTTGCACTGAGGAAGATGAGTCTTCCCACTTTCCAGGCACAGCGCCACCTAGCTGTCCACATGGCACATAGTGCTTAGTAAATATTTGTTGACTGACACATTTC